GCCCTGGGATTATAGGCTTCAGCGACCGCACTCAACCTCCAATTCTTAAAATTGAGCAACTATAGCTATGCAAACTGTTATTAACTTTTTTGTTTTGTTTTTCAGTCAGATGAGTTGAATAAGACATCACTTATTATTTGTTAAAATATATTAATAATTTATGGTAATTCGCATACAGTACAATTCAGCCTTTTTTTGTTTGTAGCTCTAGAAGTTGACAAGGACCCGAAACCATAAAAACACCACCACACTTAAGATATGGAACATTTTTTTCACCTGACAAAGTTTTCTTGTACCCCTGTGTAAAATTCCTCTCACTTCGAAGTCCTTGCAGCAGAGATCCTCTTTCTGTTCCTATGGTTTTGACTTTTCCAGAATATCTTAGAAGTTGAATCATTCAAAGCACATAGGCTTTTTAGTCTGGCTTCTTTCACTTAAGAGTAATGCAGTTGAGAGTCATCTATGTTGTTGCATGTTATCTAGAGTGTATTTTTTAATTGTTTAGTAGTATTCCATGGTGTACTGTGGGTACACCACAGTAAAATGGAATGTGTATCCTTTCACGGCTTGATAAACATTTGAGTGGTTTCCATTTTTAGGGGACTATGGAATAAAGGCAATAATAATAATAACAAAAAACTGACTATATGCATATAGATTTTTCTTTTTTCTCGGATAAAATGCTAACATGGGGATTGCTGGGACATATGGTAAATGTGAGTTTAACATTATAAGAAACCAAATTATTTTCCAAAGCAGTGTGCACCATTTTGCATGTGTAGCGGCAATGTACCAGAGTTCTAGTTGCTCTAAATCCTCACTAGCACTTGTTATTTTTTTGGTGGTTGTCATTACTACTATTTGTTAAATGTTAACAGTTACATATTGGTATCACATTGCAGAACTAGTTTGCATTCCCCTAATGACTAATGATGCTAAGGATCTTTAATGTGCTTATTTAAATCCATATTTTTTTCTGTGAAGTGTATGTGCAAATCTTTTGCCCATTTGTAAACTGATTTTTCAAATATTATTGCACCATGAGAGAGTTATTTTTATATTCTGGGTATTAGCCTCTATAAAACATGTATTTTGCAAATATTTTCACCCAGTCTGTAGCTTTTCTTTTTAATTTCCTGACAGTGTCATTTTAAAAGCAGAAGTTTTTTAGTGAAACCCAATTTATTATTATTTTTATTTTATGAATTGTACTTTTAGTGTTGAATCTAAGAAATCTATGCCCAACCCAAGGTCACTAAGATTTTCCCTTGTATTTTCTTAGACCAGTGTTAAAGTTTGTGATTTTAGATTTAAGTTTGTGTTTAATCTTGAGTTATTTTTTTTATCTGCTTTGAAGTATGAATTGACACTTTTTTTTCATTCTCGTTTTCTTTTTCAAATAGATTTGAATTGTTCCAGATCTGTTTCTTGGAAAATTCTATTCTTTCATTGCTGAGTTTCCTTGGCAGCTTTGTGAAAAGTCAAGCAACCATGTATACACGGGTCTATTTTTGGGCTCTCTCTTCTATTCCATTCATGTGTTTGTCTATTGTAATGTCAATATCCCACTTCCTTGAATATCTGTTAGTTTTATAGTAAGTCTTATAATCTGGTAGTGTATCTCAAATTTTGTTTATATTTTTCAAAACATTTTTGCTATTTAATTTCTTTGCATTTCAATATACATTTAAAGATAAGCTTTCCAATTTCTACTCCCCCCCCCCACAAAAAAAAATTGCTGGATTTTAATTGGGATTGTTTTCAGTCTATATAGAAATTTGGGAAAAATTGACATCTTATCAAATATTTTAATGCATAAATTTTTAAATATAACCTTAATTTTTTCTTAATAATTTGTTATATTTACACCAAAATATTTTATGTTATTGGTGCCAGTGTAACAATGGTACTTTTAAAATCTCATTTATAATTTTTTTATCATTAGCATATAGAAATATAATTTACTTTTGTATACTGACCTCGAATCCTGTGACTTCGCTAAACTCACTTTTTAAAAACACAAATTATTTGAGATTTTCTACCTAGAATGTCATGTCACCTGTAAATAGACATTTTAATTCATTCATTCTGACCTAAGGTTGGTGCAAAAGTAATTGCAATTTTTGCCACTTCTTTTAATGGCAACCTGATTTGCCATTAAAATCAGGTTGATTAACTTTTGCTGCAACCTAATAAATGCCTTGAATTCCTCTCCTTGACTTATTACATGTGCTAGGACCATCAGTAATAGATTGAATAGGAGTAGGGAGAGCAGACATTCTTGCCTTTATCCTGAACTTAGAGGGAAAGCAGTTATATCCTTGACTATTCAAAGTATGACATTAGCTATCAGATTTTCACAGATGCCCTTTATATCATTGAGGAAGCTCTCTTACTTCCTAGTTTGCTAGTTGACATCTGATATCAACAATAATAGAAGCAGTAAAATGAAATTGAAAACAAAATGAAAAGAAAGCTTTGAAAAAAGACAACATCAATAAATTAGGGTAACCTCATAACTGGTACTAGTAGTTCTAATAGTCATGTTTTACGTGTCCTGCTTTCTCACAACTTCACCTTCTTTCCTAGAAAAACATGGCTGATCTACATTTTTCAATATCTCTAGTTTGAGAAAATGAAAATATTACTTTTTTCACTCTCACCTTTTTACTTTTCTGTTAAAAAAAAAAAAAGTGTTAATCTCCTGTCTCAATGAATGACACTAATGGCTTTATTCATATCAGAAAGCTGGAAATCATCCCCAAGGCTTTAACTCTCAACTTTATATCTAAATCATATTGAATTTACCTCATAGTTGATCCTCCTTTTAAAGCTCCATGCCAATCACTGCCTAGTTCAAGCTCTCATCTTCTCCCTGTCTTATATCAGAGGTCACTTTACTGATCTTCAGATTTATAAATGATCGTCAGGCTTTCAATTGAATCATGAGAATTAAGTTATTTCTCAGTCTTAAATTAGTCAATGTGTAGTCCTGATGCTTTCAAAGTAATGCCCATGCAGCTTTTCTCTGCTTATAAGGCCTACTGTGCATGATCCTATATCTGTTAGTCCCATATCTGCCCAGTGAGCCTCACTTGGAGATGAAAAAAAAAAAAAAAAAAGTACCTTTGGCATTGTAACTTAAGTGGTACAGATTTCTCATATGGAAAAAAGGAGTATTCGCTGTTCTGAAGACACTGCTCATCTAACTGAGAAAATAAAGAAGAATGTTTCATGCAGAAAACAGTCCTTAGTCCTTAGTCCTTCATGCAGAAAATAACTTCATGTGAAGATGAACCTCAATGCTAAAAATAGATACAGGAGGCAAGAAGACCAATCACTTGATTACTGTTTAATTAATAAGTCAGAGATGAATTAGCAGGTCTCTAAGTACTTGAAACTATTTGTAAATTCTTAGTGCCAATGTAGTAGCTCCCCTCTGTATTCTCATGGTCATGGTAGTTCAGTGCTCTAGCTTCTCAACCTCAGTACTATTGACATTTGGGGCCAGATAATTCTTCTTTGTGGAGGGCTGTCTCATGCATTGCAGGATGTTTAGCAGCATCCCTGACCTCTCCCACGACATGCCAGTAGCATCCCACTCCCCAACAATGTGATAACCAAAAATGTCTCCAAACATTGTCAAATGTCCACTGCAGGGCAAGATTGCCTTGGATGGAGAATCACTGCTGTAAGTGGAATGATGTTGTGTGCTTAAAATGATGACAGAAAGTCTGGGAGAAACAAAGTCTAAGGGAGAGAGTTGGTAGGGACCTCAGTTAAAACACACCTATACACAGGGATTTTGGCTAATGAAATAAGGAAGGCAGAGGAAGCCGGCCTGGGTCCCTGCAGGGTTAAGATCGAGCAAGCAGTGAAAGGTACATGTGATGTATAGAACAACTTCTCTACAGCCATGAAAAACTGTTACACTCTCCTGGATGCATCTGAAGTTTACAGCCTCATCTCTTTGCACATCATTTTTTTTTCCATGAAATATTCTATGCCATCTTCATGGGGTTGTGTAAGGCTCACTGGTAGAACAGGAAGTAGAGGTGATACATATCAGAGATGGTGAGTAAAATGGTAAACAGTATTTACAATGTATATATAATTTTTATAAGCCAGTATCATCTTTGCTTTTTAACTAAGCAACTTCTGCTCTGTATCTCCATAAATCCACTGAATTGTCAGATTCCCTCTTCTTCTGTTGTGCCCTAGAATAAAATTTTATTTTAAGCTATGGCATTAATGTAAACAAATATTTCATCTATTTCCATTTTAAGTTCTGGAAATACTAAAAGTATAGATATTTAATGCACTAGTCTCTAACCTAATGCTTTTCAGAGAGGTTAACAATCTATAAATGAATACATACGCTCATTTCATTCCCTGATCAAAGAAAACACGGATATATAACATATATATGTATATGTAGAACATAAATAGAACTACATTTGATCTTTAAAATTCTGGTTTAAAGTGTTAATGCATTGCATATGCAAAACAACATGTACCACTGGTTTAAAGTAAATGCACACAGATACACACACACACACAGAAAAAAAGTGAGATTTACATTTGAAATATATTTGGGGTTAAAATGACATGATTCCATTGACATTCTAATTTCATCCCAGGCCTAACAGTAGGAAATTCACATGAATTAGTAATAACTGTGTTTAGCATTGAGGCTTTCCTATGTGGATAACAGCAATTAGAAATTCAGGAATGCTGGAATGTACTCATGAACTAATCAGTTGAGATGCCCAGTGGTTTCTTTCTCTTAGAATCTTAGCAAGGTTTGCCATCTTGGCTTTGTACTTCATAGGAGTACTTATTTGTTGACTGACTGAAAGAGTATTTCAGACCTTAGTTAAAAATGTCCACAATAGAAGTCTGATTAATTATTATGTGATGCAAACATGATGCTTAAGTGATGGCACTTTAAGTCATGGTACTTTTCTCAAATATGCTTACAATACATCGTAACCACTTACTGTCTCCCCTGCAGAGTAGAGGCCCCAGTTTATAAGCTGCTTCTGAATGCAGTCGGCCTGTGTCTGTAATCACAATCTTAGTTACTGGAAGATGTTCTTTGTAAGAAAGCAATCCAGTGTCATTGGTCCTAAAAAAACAATAGCAACAAACAAAATTCTTAAGAAATTTTAATAGTCCTTATTGCATTTCAAAACCAAGATGTTCTGAACTAAATTTGCACCCACAAAAGAGTAGGGATCCAGTCACTCATTGGAGCACATAAAAACAGAATGACATTTTATTTATTATTATTATTTTGAGACAGGGTCTCACTCTGTCTCCCAGGCTGGAGTACAGTGGCACAATTTTGGCTCACTGCAACCTCCTCTTTCTGGGTTCAATCCATTCTTGTGCCTCAGCCTCCCAAGTAGCCAAGATTACAGATGTATACCACCACACCCAGCTAACTTTTGTATATTTGGTAGAGTTGGGGTTTTGCAATGTTGGCCAGGCTGGTCTTGAACCCCTGGCCTCAAGTGATACACTTGCCTCAGCCTCCCAAAGTGCTGGGATTACAGGTTTGAGCCACTGTGCCTGGCCACAACTTAATGACATTTTAATGTCTCTTGTAGAAAAATGTAATAGAGAATATAAAATATAGCATGTTAAAAATAGAACACAGTTGGAGATTTTTTAATTCAATGGACAATTTTCTACATTTTTACTGGAATTGGTTAATACATTAACATTTAGTGTAATGATTGATACTGTAGTTTGAGGTCTACCATTTTGCTCTTTCATTTCCCCCATAGGATTTCTTTTCATTTTTTGAAATGTTGTAGCAATTTATTTATTTTATTTTATTATACTTTAAATTCGGGATACACGTGCAGAACATGTGCGTTTGTCACATAGGTATACACGTGCCATGGTGGTTTGCTGCACCCATCAATCCATCATCTGCATTAGGTATTTCTCCTAATGCTCTCCCTTCCCTAGCCCCCCACCCCTTGACAGGCCCCGATGTGTGATGTTCCCCTCCCTGTGTCCATCTGTTCTCATTGTTCAACTCCCACTTATGAGTGAGAACATGCGGTGTCTGGTTTTCTGTTCCTGTGTTATTTTGCTGAGAACGATGGTTTCCAGCTTCATCCATGTCTCCGCAAAGGACATGAACTCATCCTCTTTTACGGCTGCCCCCCCCATAAGATTTCTTGTACTTCTGTTTTCCTTTACTGCCTCCTCTTGGCTTATTCCATATTTTTTGTATTTCACTTTGTTTTCTCTATTCACTTTTTAGCTATATTTATTATATTTCCATGTTTGCTTTACAGATTACAAAGTAAATTCTTAATTTATCACAGTCTATTTAGACATTATGTTTTTTAACAATGTAAAATGTCAGAAGCTTGCTAAGACATAATTCATTTAATACTGCTCCCTTCCACACATTCTTTTTTCTATTGTAATACATTTTAAATCCATATGTTATAAACTTTATAATAAAAATAAAGTGAATTTAATGTTTTAATTAAGAAAATAATTTAAACACTGGCTTTTACATTTACCAACATATTTGCAATTTCCAGTGCTTTTCACTTCTTCTTGAAGATCTGAGTTTTCATCCGTGGTATTTCTCTTTAGCCTGAAGAATTTCTATTAGAATTTGTTGTTTAAGATGCTCTTTTCAATTCTAAAATTTACATTTGGTTCCATATTATAGTTCTCACTTATCTGCTTAAAATACCCTTTGTTTACACATTGTGATTATTTTTATCTTTAAGTCTTCAAATATTTTTATAATAGTTGCTGTAAAGTATCTTTCTGCCAATTCAAACATCAGTAACCCAAGGTTGGTTTGTAATAACTGCTCTTAATTTCTTGACTTTAGATGAAAATGTACTCTTCCTTGAATATTCAGTAAATGTTACAACATGCTAGATATCATGGATACATTGTAAAGATTCTGGATTTTGTTATTCTTTAAAGATTTCATTTTTATTTTTATAGGCAGTTAAATCACAGCCTTATCACAATAAATTGCCATTGCTTGGTTTGATAGTTCATTAGGTGGGGCCTGTGTGAATTTTGCCTAATTTTCAGTGCTATCTCTTATATCTGGGATATAGTCTTTGCCATAAACACATGGGCAGTATCTGCCTACATTTGGTTACTTTCTGCTCATTTCAAGTAGTTGTTTTTAAAACATTTTTTTTCCTGGATTTACAACAATTATCTGAGAAGGGTTAGCTCTATGCAAGTTACTTTACCATTAGCAGAATTTAATATGAGAAATCTTACAATCTTATTTTTAAAAGTCATTTTTAATTAGAAATGTGTTATAGAGGCATTGGAGAGTTATTGATGATTAGGTAATTTTTTATAGTTGTTAAGCGTTACTACTAGCATTTTATTTACATTTTAAAATACAGTATTACTTTGCAGGCATTTTTTTTGTGAAGGTAGTGATAAGAAAAGGGTGCCTTCCAAAAGGAGTAGAAATTTGAAAAATGAGAGTTTAAGAGAGCCAATATTCTTCATAACAAACATGTAACACTAAAAGTGCAATTCTAAAAGAAATATACACACACACATAACATCATCTTGATGTTTCCCAACTAAATAAATGAAATATTATCTAATTCAAATTATGACCTCAATTAACAGCAGATTTATCACTGTAATCAATGTGCATCCTGTAACAAAATCACCCATATTACATCCAGATTGACTAGAACTATTTGTTAAAAGTAAGTCTTCTGTACAGGTCTAGTTGCTTAGCAATGTAACATATACATAGGTTATGCTGAAATGTAAATATAAACGTTTAAAATATTTTCACTTTACAAATAATAAATAAGGGCAGTATACATGCCAACTCTAGTCTCAAATTCTGTCAATGTATTTTTTAAACTTTTCAGATAAAGAACACATGCATAAGCTTCTTTTCTGCTTAGAGGAATATTTGTAATTTGATTTTAAAATTCCTAAAATGTTACAGATTTCTTTTTTCAAAATATAATCCACAGAACATTAGTTCTTTGTAGTATGATTTGTCTTTTTAAAAATATAAAAGAATTGCATGTTAAAATAATTCTAGTAAATTCTAAGTTGATAATTTTAAATGTTTTATAGGTAGATTATTGAAGAAATGTGCTTTGGCTGTAAATATATTTTTAAGATAATAGAATACCTACTTATATATAGTTTTAAAAGGAATAATAATTAATTCCCCATGTAACAGGTATCTCTGTTTGATTATAAAATTAAAATGTACATGACTTATGGTCCATTACAGAAAATAACTCAAAAAGGCATTGACTTAATACTAAGGACTATATTGACTATACCATGTTTCATTAAAACATACCTTTATTTAATTACTTCATTGCACTAACTTGTTCAGTATCTGGCTAGCTATACATACTTTGAGTAATTAATTTTTTAATGAACTTTTTCTTGCATAAAAAAATCAAATGAAAATCACCATTCATTCCGGTCAGCATCACAATTGCAGTAATACTGAGAATCAATGCAGTTTCCCTCTAATCCACAAGTACATTTTTGAAGATCAGGTGAAGAACCTCCCCAGTAGGTTTGCGTTTCATTGGTTCTTCCTACCCACCAACTCAGAGGGGTTCCATCTGAAAGACAAACGTGAGAAATGTGACATCTGCTTTATGTCCCACCATCTTCTCTCCCAGTATAATTCCTTTTCTTCCAAAATCATTAAAAAGAATAAAAGGAGAAAGATTGATTTGATTTAAGGATATGCAAAACAGTGTAATTGCTGGCATTCCCTTAAGAAAATTTTTTAAATAAAAAAGTTATTATTTAGGCTTAAATGACCGATACATTTGTCCTCGGGTAGAAAGAAACCAGCGGTTCCTATTTAATTTAGGCATGATAGTAAAAAATGGATTGAGAGCAGCTCACATATACAATTTCTTTAAAAATAATTTTGAAACAAGTTAGCATCAAAATATAAATCATAGTAATTAACATACCAAAGCAAAATTGATTTGAAATCATGAAATGCCCATTAAAGCATTATGGAATGTTATGTAAAGTCCCTGATTTATCTCAATAAATTTATTCTCTAAAAATATCCTAGCTGTTTAATAAATGTCAGGCATGATTTGGCACTCCCTTGTCATGATTTAAGATTTATTGGGAAGTATATATTTTATCTTTCATTTAATGGCTTGGCTATTTATTTGAAGTTACAGAAATAACACTGAAAAATCTTTATGCTGGAAGCGAATATTACACTCAAAAGAAGTTTCCCTCAGCCAAATGCATCTCTTCCTACGATAAATGTTCAGCTACCAGCTCCTTCTGAGTTAAGACTAAACATGATGCCAAGGAACTCAAGCAAGGAACAGATACAACATCTAGGCAAGGATTTCCAGAGAAGGACGTGAAGCATGTAGCCAATCTATCATGAAAAAAATAAAAAGTATGGAGGAAAAATTGTAGTCATCTGAGAATCAGGGCGAGAAGAATGCAAGCGACACAGAATCAGTCAGCTTCTCAAAGGTGCTTGATCATTTTTCTGTCGACTTTCAAACCTTTAAGTTGTCACCATTAGCCCTACTGAGAATCTGGGATTTTTACTAATTTCTCCCTTGCTTACAAATGCCAATGCTCATTTTAACTTACTATTAGTCCCTGTGCTAATGCTGACAACCTCTCTCCCAGGGTTACTACGCATGCCAGTCTGGCCACGTCAAAACAAAAACAAAAACAAAAAACCAGCAAAGAGTTATTAAAAGCTGTGTTATGCATAAATGCATTAATATGAAGAATCTTCATCTTTTTTTAATTACATGATTAGCCCTTCACCACAAGGTGAAAATTACTTGAAATACTTAATAAATATATTTCAATACACTGCTTAAAACATTGCTTTCATAGATTAAAAAGAAAAATAAATTGTTATTCTTAAATACTGAACCATATTCCCACATCTAAATTTCCTGTCTTCCCTATAAAATAGAAATCACTGAATGTTTTTTAAGGTATCAGACATTGGTTCAATCCAAGACTTTTAAAGAAAATGTACTAAGGAATATAAATAACTATAGGAATGAATTTTTAAAATCCTGAGAAATAAAAATTAAAGGTAAAAAATACCCGTGGATATGGTGGAACATTCCACCTCCCATAATTAAAATCCTAAATGACTTGAGCATTCCCATTGATTATCCTTCCTGTGATCTGAGTCACAGATCCTCAGCAGTTGAAAACATATTTTCATACACATTTCACTTTATTCATTCATGTATGGCATCATTATCACTTGACACTAAATCACCAAGATCTGAAACTCTAAATCTAGCTTGTCTGAAAACAACTTCCTGTTCTATCCCATTATATTTCTTATTGTGACCTCAGCTCTTTTAACTCTCTTCACCTCAAATCTATTCCACATGAATCATGAGGTCACCAACCTAAGAAAAAATTGTGTATTTAGCCACGTTCCATGCCTTTCAGGATCCCCTCTTCCACGCCTTTCTGGAGTTAACTTTCTAAAACTGGTTATTGAGCCTGAAACACGAGGGAAGCATTAAAAAAAAAAAAAAGTGCACAGGCTGCACAGGCAAAACTGGCCTTAAAGATGGCGATTCCTGACACATTCTGTATCAACCCTTGTATTAGTCTGTCTTCATGTTGCTAATAAAGACATATCTGAGACTGAGTAATTTATAAAGAAAAGAGGTTTGATGGACTCTTAGTTCCACATGGCTGCGGAGGCCTCAGAATCATGACAGAAGGCAAGGAAGAGCAAAGTCACATCTTACATGGTGGCAAGCAAGAGAGTTTGTGCAAGGGAACTCCCATTTATAAAACCATAAGATCTCATGAGACTTATTCACTGCCATGAGAACAGTATGGAGGAAACTGCCGCCATGATTCAGTTATCTCCACCTGGCCCTGTCCTTGACACGTGAGGATTATTACAATTCAAGGTGAGATTTGGGTGGGGACACGGCCAAACCATATCAAGCCCCTTTACTCTGTGTGATGTTTACTCACCAGTCCCTCAGGGATTTTGCTTTCTGGTTCTGTTACAGCTTGACTTCTTTGTCAACTTTGATAACCATCCTTCTTTTTGTATTATGTTTTGTTTTTCAGCTTTGCAGTAAAATTAACAAATAAAAATTGTACACATTTAAGGTGTGCAAAGCAATGTTTTCAAATGATTACCACAATCACATGATTTAACATAGCCACCACTTCACATAGGCACCACTTCACATAGCTACTTTATATTTTTATGGTAAGAATACCAAGATCAAGTCTCTCAGCAGATTTCACATATACAATACACTGTTGTTAACTACAGTAATCATTCTGTATACTACCTCTCCAGAATGTATTCATCTTACAACTGCAAATTTGTACCCTTTGACCAATATCTCCACACCAACCCCCTTCCCTAGAAATCACTCTTTCACTCTGTTTTTATGAGCTCAACTTTTTTAGATTCCATACATAAGTGGGATCATGAAGTATTTGTCTTTCTGTGTCTGGCTTATTTCACTCAGCATAACATCCTTTAGTATCTTGAAGAGATGTTTTCACTGCAATGTTCATTGCAGCTTTATTCACAATAGCCAAGATATGGAGAAACCTAACTGTCCATTGATGAATGGATAAAGAAAACATGATACACACACACATACACACACACACACACACACACACACACACACAAAATGGGATATCATTCAGCCTTAAATAGAAGGAAGTCCTGCCATTTGTGACAACATGGATGAACATGAAAGGCATTATTCTAAATAGAATAAGCCAAATACTGAAAGACATATACTGCGTGACCACATAAATGACCTGAGTTCATTTTGTTCCATAGCATTCATTTACCCTTCCATAATTACCATTCTTATTCTTAGAATACCATTCCAGATTTGCTTATCTGTTTTTTTAATTCTAAGATGAATATTTAGCAACAATGAACAACCCATTAGAAACTAAACTGTGTATGTTCACTATGGCCACAATGCCCCGGAGAGCTGGAAATGAGGGGGGCTCATGCCATGCACTTTGTATGTACTATGCCACCCAAACATCACTGCACCCCTGTGAAGCTGGTATTATTGGCCCCATTTCGGAGAAAAGAAAACAAAGACTGAGATTCATTAACCATTCGTCCATTTCAGTAATCAAAGTTTCATCTATCTATGTTCTAGATGCACCTAGCCAATGAGAAACACACCCACACCTCCAGCTGTAAATCTTACGCTTTCGAACTACAACTGTGTGATCCTCATTTGCACACAGAATTGAGGTTTCAGGAGGAGATAAGTTTTGGGTGGATTCCAGAAAGATGGGATTGGAGGGATAGAGACCAAGTGAGAACATTCTGAAAATGGAAAATGAGGAGGAGAAAGAGGAGAAAAAGGGCAAGGGGGTAGTCAGTCATAGGGGAGAAAATAATCTGATTTTTAGTGGGTGGAGAGTAAATAGAGAGAGAATCAGAAATGCAGGGTTCAAATGTCAGAACAACAGTTCAGCATTTTTGCATGATTTCTATGACATATGCTATTCCTGTATGAAACAAATTTCTTTCTAAATTTTTGTCATTCCATCTGGAACTCCAGCCCTTCTTAGGACAAGCAGGAGTGAACATGAAAAAAGTTGCTTTATTGTACAGATATCTTAGAATTTTCTCTAATATGTGAAGAAAAATACACCTCAATGCTACTGCTAGAAAATAAGTGTTAGAGGACGGCATGAGGGTTACACAAGCAGGGTGGACACAGAATATGCAATTCCAGGATCCAGCAGAACAGGCTGTGTCAGACAGACAAATAATAGAAAGGAGGTAGACCTTCTTAAATAGTACTGTGTTTCTTAAAAGTGGGAGCGGCATTTCTTAAAGGTTAATTTTCTTAACAGAGAGTAATACTTTGGATTTTGCATTGGATGGTTAGAAGATACGAAGAGATGACAAGCTAGGAGGCCAGCTGGAAAGCTCTTGCAGTGACTTCAAGAATTAGCTCACTGGGGCCAGGCGCGGTGGCTCACGCCTGTAATCCCAGCACTTTGGGAGGCCGAGGCGGGCAGATCACGAGGTCAGGAGATCGAGACCATCCTGGCTAACATGGTGAAACCCCGTCTCTACTAAAAATACACAAAAAAATTAGCCGGTCATGGTGGCGGACGCCTATAGTCCTAGCTACTCTGGAGGCTGAGGCAGGAGAATGGTGAGAACTCAGGAGGTGGAGCTCACAGTGAGCCGAGAACCTGGGGGGTGGAGCTCACAGTGAGCCGAGATAGCGCCACTGCAGTCCAGCCTGGGAGACAGAGCGAGACTCCGCCTCAAAAAAAAAAAAAAAAAAGAATTAGCTCATTAAGGCCTACTGTAAGGCAGATGTGATGGGAACATGGGAACAGAGGCTCTGACATAATGAGACACCCTAAAGAAAGAAAACATAAGACCAAAACCAGAACTCAGGAGCAGACTGGTTATTCACAGTAGAATCAAATAAAGAGTTAAGATAGTTTTCTGATTCCTCCTTGAACTAGTGAATCAACTGTGTCTCTGGCAGCCTTTTCTAATATTCAGTTATACCCAGAGGCTGTCAACAATCCATGAAAAAGAGGCACATAGAATACTTACTTTCAGAAAACTAAGTCGTATTTTTATTAGCTGTTTTCCACGATAAAATAAACCTTATGTGTCACTTGCCCTTTATCAGGGATAAACACTATGCATTCATTGAGTATCAGAAAGAGGCCTTTGCTGTAAAGTTATCCAATTAAGGCCAGGAAGAGAGTTTAAAAGCAATCAAGGCTTTGAATAAAGCTCAGTGTAAATTGACCTTGTTCTTTTCTTCAGGCAGAAGCATCTTTGTGACTTCCAGACTGTGACATGTTTACTAAGAATGCGAGATCATATACCCTCAGTGGCTAGATGCCACCACTTTGCAGAATTAAAATCTTCAGGAGCTCGTTGATTAAGTGCATGATGTGATGTGTGCAACAAGACAGACACTATGGTTTACTGACCTTGCTTATTGACCAGCCGTGACTTCTTGCAGTAATAAGTAAACTCCTGTTCACAGTGCTCCGCACGGTTAATAGCGGCCTGAAGTTGCTCCATGCTGGCCACATACTCGAAAAACCCAGCATATGGGTTCTCTGGATTAGTATTTCTGACTCTTGTTAAGTCAGAGCCGTTGTGCTGTATGATGGTCCATGTAGTTTCTTGTATGCAGAAATGGGGGGAGAAAGAGAGGAGACCATCACTAGTCTGCAAAAGTTAAAATAAATAAAGAAAATCAAAATCACCTTTTATCTGAGTCAAATTTTTCTAATCATCAAACTTCTCTGAGAGGTAGAATCAACACAAATGGATTCTCAGAATTGTTAAGTTATGGTAAGTGATTATTTTTCCTGAAATATATACTATTGCCATGCATTTACAGTGATTTTATTTAACATTTTCATATAATTTAGGCACACAATATTTATGATGAAAAATATTAGGAAATCTGATTTTTTTTTGTGATATATTTTATTTCACTGAATCTGATATTCCATCTTTTTAAAGATGCATCATTATTTTATTTCACTGCAAGAAAGGAAAAACTGCTGCCTATTACAACTACAAAACATTATTCATCAACACATCTAAAATCCAGTGATATCACAATATGAAAAAAAGTGCATATCAGAATTCATGAAATACTTTGTTACATAATGTAAGCAGCCACTTTTCTACTCTTAACTACTATTCATAGTATCAGCAAAAATAAAGTCAAAATTTTGTAGCCCTCTATATACCTCTTTAATCAACATTTAACTATGAGTGTGCATCTTTTTAAAATCAAATGTAAAGTATTCACTTTGATATCATGTGATCTGCACAGTTAGACAGTACAATAGGAAGTTACTCGTTTGAATTGTATGCATCTGACACAGAATCTCAACTAACACAAAAGTAAAATACCTTTGAGTATATACTAGAGTTATCACTACTGGTTTCTGAATGTCTGTAAACATTTCCATCATACTGATTACCAAAATTTCTTAGATGAAATAAAAATCCCACAATGTTTGTAACAGACAATAGGCATATGATATCTGCCCTTCAACTTTACCAGTAATAGACTTTATACTATATTTTCTGTGATATATGCAGACACAAGAACAGATAAATCAAAAAGCCTCTGATTTAGTAGGCAAAAAAAAGAGTGAAAGTTGTCAAAATTCCACTACATATGTGCTGTTAAGTCACATAACTCTTCTGTAATACAGAGGAATATCCCAAATTGGAGAAAAACAGTAATAGTAGGCAAAACGTTTCCCCCTCTTTTTAGCTAAGGCATTCATATGGATCAACAATCCAAATAAGGAGGTATACTTTGAAAATTTCATTCCCATTCCTTTCCCAGTCATCAGTTTGGACTAGAGAGGTGGGCTAAAGGAGGCTGGACTAACGTCACAGACTTATTGCCTTCCACGTGTGGATTATTATTTTTCTGCGAAACAATAGCTGTTATTTTTGCATTTCCCTCTTGCATTTCAGTTCACCCTTCAACAGTAGAATGCTCTCAAACAGAACTTAATCTACCAGCCAATGAAATTACGGGTGGCCAGCAGTACAATGTAGAAGTCATCAAGAGATCTGAGTTGCAGATCTGGCATGCATCTTGTGCCCTTAGGAAAGTCAGGTAAAACCTGGGCCTCCATTTCCAAATTTGGAAATTAAATTGGCAGAACGAGGTCTGAAATTCTATAATTTCAGCCAACTCGACCTTGGCTATTGGAAGTTTAAGGTTATTATTAACTAGACAAATCCGACAGCCTAGCCTCTGTTGGACTCTGTTTCTTTTGTTCAAAAAAACCATTCACCTTTTCTTGTGATAAATCAATGGCATGCAAGAAGAAGCTAGCTACCAAGAGAGGCGGACAATATACCTGCTTGAAGCCTTTGTCTCTTTCCCTTCTGGATCACACTGAGTGAGACTTCCCTGTAGTTTAGCATCCACTGGGTCACAATTAACACCTGATTCTAAAGGTTTTTAAAGGTGTTGCAAGAGATTCAAGGCCACCGTGCCCGGCAACCATCAAAGAGTAGCTCATATCAACGTTTCCTTTTGACATTCTAAAATATTTCAATGTTATGATAGTCCCTGTAAGTTGATTTTATTCTCTAATAAAAAGCACTACAAGGTATGATGTTAACCAGATGCCACACTTATCAGGCCATCTAGATTTCCAGGGTAGAACAGACACAAAGAAATTGTCACAATAGATTTTGAGCAACAGAGATAGGGGCCTTAAAAGCCAGGTTCCAAACCTCATGTGCTTCATTAATCTGGAAATCTCTGAAAAGTCTCAAATTAGAGCCTCTTTACTGTTCTTTCAGACATGGTTGAGTGATCTGAAGTTTCTACAAACACCTGCTTAGAAGTAAGAGTGGTAAAAGACACAGACTTCATCACAATTTGTAATTCAATACTTTGTGGTTGACTTTATCGGTCTTTCCTACCAGTCTGCAAGCTCTATGAGAATAGCAATAGTTTCTGATCTGGTAACAATCATATCTCCAGCACATAGCACAAGGCTTGATACAAAATGCAGAAGACATTTGTTGAAGACATGAGGGAATAAACAAATGAATGAATAAAAACAACGCATTGTCTAGATTAGAGCACAACCTCCTAGGTTATCCGATTCAGATGCTGCAGAGGCTCTGACATTTTCGCTGCCTTTGAGTTGTTATATAATTCTATAAATTGTAGATAACTAATAGAATTGCTAAATAATGTTAAGTCTGGAACTGTGAAGGGCCCTGAGATGTTACCCTACTTGCAAGTTAAGGAGTTATCTTGCCAATACACAGATTATATCTATCTGTTTATTGACCTGTCTACTACCTACCTACCTGTCTAATCTACACTAACAGACACAGAGGACCTCTGAATCAGGGACCATTTGCTCACAGAGAACCTCATCAGCATCAATCCCTCATACCTCAATTTCCCACCTGCAGATGCAGTGAGTGCTAGATAGAGCTGTGCCTGCTGGAGTTGTACCACAAGAGGAGGATCACAAAATGATGAGGCTTGGGCTTACAGAGGGTACCTAGCACACTCTCTCCTCCTCCCCTCCATAGAGTGATAGAGAGACTTTGGCTTTGGAATGTCACAAATTTTCTTTAGAGAGAAGGTACAAGCCCTTAGGTTTTTATTACTCTTAGAAAATAAGCAAATGCATCTGGGGGAGATAAGCCTTTAAATCTCTTCAGAGCTATTCACTATCTCTAACTTCCAAGACACATTTAATCATCCTTTAACGTAGGTTGTCAGACATTTTTTTTTTTTTTTGTCTTTGCCCAGAAATAAAGGCACTGTTTCCTTACAACAAATAATTCTTGTCTGTAGACAAGCAACTTCTACCTGGTTGAGGTTCTAGTGACTTCCCTCCCCCATCATGGATGAATCCAGTGTTGCCTCCATATGCACATTTGTTTCCGTGTTCCTAACATGTAGATATGTCTTTTCTTTGGATTCTCCTTTGAACTGGTTGTAATGTCTTTCCAATTTCTTCATTAATAATGCATTTTAAACATCTTTAAAATTTTTTAACTTTTATTTTCATATCTGCATGACAATCATGATTTTACTTTATTACAAATTATCTTTTACTAAATACAAAAAGAGTGGGAGGGTAAGGAGACAGGGAAATGAATAAGAGATGGCTGAAATAGGCAGAAAGTCTACACTGAATGGTAGTTTGCGTCTACTCACGTCTTTTCCTGAAGACATTTCACTATTTGTAAATAAAGTAATTAAGAACTTGATTTACCTTAGGCTGGCTGCTATTTTTTAGTGTGATAACAGTGCAAAGAGAAAACATGCTGTTTAAGCAATACAGTTGCAAAGCTTGTGTTGCTTCATGCTTAATAGCTGAAGGTGATAGATGCGATAAAGACTAAGAGCAGGTAGGAAGTGCTGTGTTAAGGAAAGCAGGAGACAGGAGGGGAGACAGCTAGCCTTCTGGAGCAAAACCTGATGTAAATAGGACTGCATTTGAATAATGGACAGTTATTTATTAACCCTCATAGCTGTTAAGAAGGCCTTTATTATTGAAATCTCTAAAAATAATTATGCCATTATAAGTCTTAAGCTCTCCAGCTTTCTCCTGAAATGATCTCAGGAGCCCCTATCTCAGAAGCACATGGGGTACTTGTTAATAATGCAGAGACCCAGGCCTTGTGTTCTCAACTTACTGAGTCAGGGAAACTAAACCCGGGAGTCTCGGTAATGGGGCCATGAGAAGGGGTGAGTTTAATCCATAGAGTTTTCATTTTTAGAAAAACTTGAAAGTCTCTGTTCTAGCACTCATCAATTTCTTCCCTCTGGAACAATCATCCTTACAGTGCAATGTTTGATAATGAGAAACTTCTTGAACATGAAACATTTTCATTATAGAAAAAGCAATGAAGGCCGGGTGCAGTGGCTTAAGCCTGTAATCCCAACACTTTGGGAGGCCGAGGCAGGCAGATCACCTGAGGTCGGGAGTTCCAGACCAGCCTGACCAACATGGAGAAACCCCATCTCCACTAAAAATGTAAAATTAATTGGGCGTGGTGGTGCCTGCCTGTAATCCCAGCTACTCGGGAGACTTAGGCAGGAGAAATGCTTGAACCCGGGAGGCAGAGGTTTAGGTGAGCTGAGATCGTGCCATTGCACTCCAGACTGGGCAACAAGAGTGAAACTTGGTCTCAAAAAAAAGAAAGAAAAGAAAAGGAAAAGAAACAGCCACTGGGATTCACCTTATTCTAACTAATTATTTTTAAATTATGTTTGGAAAACTGTTTACAAAGAAATTTCAGCTTTTAACATCGTTTAAGAAATTATCCATTCAAAATAGAGATTTTTTTTGTATATTTTAGCTTAAAATGCTTAGAGGTATTTTAATACATGTGGAATCATTTGACACTAGTTCTAGACTAATAACTAGATTTTTTAATAAGACACATATTTGCAAGTTGGTGATTCAGCATTTTGTCTTATTTTCACCATACGTGATCTATGTAACTAGAAGATATGTTCTTGGCTGCAAGCAATGAAATACTCATAGAAGGTAACCCTTCCTAGTGGAAAAACTTTTAGGCTATCAAAAAAGAGACCAGAGCTTGATCTATTCCTACCAATATTTTCACCCTGTTACACTTAACCTCCCTGAGCCTTCGT